CTGCGTTGATTCCTGGCAAATCGCCAGATTCAACCGTAGCCGCGATCGCACCGCATGATCATTTGCCCTGTTTGGACGTGAAAACCTGGGATTTTAAGGTTCAGGAGCTGCTTCGGTAATCCGCATTGAATTTTGATCATGCAAGACGCTTTAATTATGCAAATTGACCTGAGAATGACCGAGATCGAGAGATTGGGTGTCCTACAAGGCATTACGACATGTAATCGCCGCCGGCTTAAGTGCAGTTTACCCCCGGCCCCCCAGCTGGCACCTACCTACCGTATCTCGGCTCCCTGTTCATCTACAGGTGTGTAAAGTATACCAAAATGTTCGTATTGCTTTGGCGAGTATTTTGGTATTCTTCACACCCCTGTAGATGAACAGGGAGCCGAGATACAAAAGTTGGGTGCCAGCTGGTGGGGGGTAAACTGCACTCTAACCTCGCCGCCCACTCAAAAAAATCGTTTTGGCCCGAAAAGATTCCGGTTTTCTCAAACCTTGTGCATCCACCCCTCGGAATGTTAGTTACACAATTCGAAAGCCCTTGAAATGACCAGTTTGAAACAATCTCCAAAACCATGTTATTATTTGAGCCCGACATTTTACAAGATCTTTTGTAAAATTTTCGGGTTTTTGGGTTGCATACGAGCTAATTTCCCTAAATTTATCCATGCAAAATGACCGGAAGAGCCGTTAATTAGATGCAAAAGCCGTTCCTAAAGGTTTTTGAATGCGTTGTAAAATAGCGGGTTTAGATTAAAACATAGTTTTGAAGATTGTTGCAAACTGGCCGTTTCAAGGGCTTTCGAATGGCGTAACTATCATTCCGATGTGATACTTCTAGGTCGGGCCAGAGGGGGGTGTTTTTTTATTGGGACTCCCTGTATTCCTGAGTCATTATATTTTCGCGGCACGCGTTTTTGCTCGCTTTATCGATTTGTCATTTTTGTTTATTCTTTATGTTTGTCTCCTCTTGATATAGATACAATTATTGGGAGTTTCGCGCCGTTTTTTACGATCTTTTTCTTGCTCCAAATTGCCGCGGTAGATAATGAAAACGAAATGAAAAAAATGAAAAATGATAACGATAAAAAAATAATTTTTTTTTTGCATTTTGTCAATTTTTGAAAAATGGAAAAATTTTCTGGCGTAAACAAACCCTCTGAAAACGATAAAAACTACATATAAATTACCGGTAATTATAGGCGGAAAAATCAAAAAATTAGATTGACCCCACGTTAACCCCCCTCCCCCCGATAAAGGGTAAGAACCGAAAGAACCATCGGAAACGCTTTGATCAGCTTTTGCTCGCAGTGTCGTGCCTGAAATGAGACATGGTCTTGCCGAGTTCTAGTTTCTTTGGCCCATGCTGTCCAGTTTTTATGTGTTTGTCCTGGAGACCTGATAAAGCTAGAGCGGGTGTCGATTTGGCACCTTTTTCGAAGCCGTTATGTTGCGACTTTCTAGGACCTCATTTAGGCCTGGAAATGGGAAGCGACTTTGTACCCCTCACGCTCACTGAAATTATGGACGGGAAACGTGAGTTGCATGGTTTTCAAGGAGCTAGGAAGCGCGGGAATCGACCCTTCAATCGGTTAGGTCTCGACAGCTACCCGAGCCAAAACAACTGGCAATTTCCTTTTGACAGCCCCTTAGACTAGATAGGAAAAATCGGGATCGCGTTTTAACGTGTTTGGGCGTGCCGCGTAGCTGTCTAGATCCAGTCGAACGAGGGGTCGGTTTTGCGCTTCTGGGCCCCGTTAAACCAAGCTTTTAGGCCCCGAAAATCGTCCGATCCGTGTGCTCTGTGAAGGCGTCTTCGATTTGTTCCACATTGGCCACATTGGAGTTTTGCGACAAGCCAAAACCGCGTTTCCGGATATCATTTTGGTGTCTGGAGGTTTGAATTTGCCTTTTCATGCGTAGTAAAAAGCATATAAACGTCAATTATAGTTTTTTAGTAAATACAGACGCTGACGTCATCACCTACAAGGGCCATGGGACGGTGATGAGCTACAGCGAACGGCTGACCAGTTTGGAGAATTGTCGGTGCGTATCTTTCTTTCTTTCTTTCTTTCTTTCTTTCTTTCTCTCTCATCTTCCCTCTCTCTCTCTCTCTCTCTCTCTCTCTCTCTCTCTCACTCGCTGCATCTAACAATCGATTTTTCGCATCATTTAAATTTAGATACGTCGATGAAGTCCTCTACGACCTTCCATACGTCTACGACCTTGAATATCTGAATCGAAACCAGGTTCGTGGCGAAGCAACTGTCCTCCCCGATGCTTTCGTTTTTCGCGATTTCGGGATATCTATTATATTTTTCGAATTCAGATCGACCTGGTTGCCCACGACGATCTGCCCTACATTCCAAGCCCGGATGCCCCGGTGGAAGTGCTAAATTTTTACGATAGATTTAAGGTATAGACCTGAAAACGTCATTTATCTCTCTCTCTCTCTCTCTCTCTCTCTCTCTCTCTCTCGTTCGCTAGCCTTTTCAGGAGGTCGACCGCTTCTTGCCAACGAAGAGAACGGAGGGGATCTCGACGACAGAGCTGATCGAAAGGATTCTTACTCGTTACCGCCTTGAAGATGGCGTTGTCGTTGCATGCAAATAAACGATGCTCTCTCTCTCTCTCTCTCTCTCTCTCTCTCTCTCTCCCTCTCTCTCACCCTCTCTCTCTCACCCTCTCGCTCTAGCAATTTATGTAATTTTGCACTTTTACATGAATTGCACGTTATTCGTATCTAATGGACTTTTCGGTTAGAAGTACAAGAAAAAAAGACAAAAAAGTAAAAATTGCAATTCTTCGAAAATTCGTAAATATTTTTGTAACTTTCTGGCAAGCAAAAACTACCAAAACCCTATGAACAAAACGCTATTTATGTTATCGCTATTATGTTTAACAGGCTACGACACGGAAAGCTAAAACAAGTTTGACAGAATGAAATTTTGAAGTTCGACATTTGAAAAGCGGCGCGCTCACGTTGCATATCGTCTCCCCCAACCCTTACCCTCCGCCAAAACAGAAAAACCTTTTATTCGTTCCTCAACCAATCCAAAAAACGGGGGGATTTTTCATGACTGGGTGATGACAGTAACCGATGGAGATTGGGGGAAGCGGGGTGTGGATAGTTGCGTGGGGTACACAGCACAGCAAAAATATCGATTTTGTGGGGGCCAAGCCGATGGTGCCATCAAAAAGGGTTGCAATTTTTGATGGTATGCGCGAGAAAGAGAGATGGAGAGAGTCAGAGAGAGCGAGAGAGAGCGAGAGAGTGAGAGAGCCGTGTGGGGGATCTTAATTCATTATTTAGGGCCTATTTCGAGCCGGGAATTTGCCCTGGAAAATCGCGAAATTGGTAAAATAACTTCCTACAGTATTTTTACAATATCTCCTCGGTTTTCCAAGATTTTAAAGGGACCTCGAAGTCAAAACTGACGCCAAGATGCCTTTAAAAAATTCCCCAAGTGGAACGCATGTTTTTCGGGGCGTATAAAAATAAGAGAGATCACATTTGAGTCCGGGCTACGCGCTGCGTTTACAGGAGTTTTTACGGGGTGTACGGTAGATGTTTAAAGGGGCAGTGAAGTGACGGGGGAGATGGTATTTATTTTCTGCCGAACCGCACGAAGGTCTGGGCGCGTTTGCCGAATCGGACAAAGGTCTGTGCTCGCTTGCCGAATCGCACGAAGGTTTGGGCTCGCTTGTCGATTGGGGCCGCGTCTGAAAAAGTAAGATAAATATCGTTATTTTCCTCAAAGATCTTTGCTAGCTTGCCATCTGAAAAAATTCCTCAAAGATATCTGCTAGTGGTTCTTTCGCCTTATCGGGGGGAGGAAAAACGCATTTTTGGATGCAATTTTTTTATATATAATAGCGGATGTTTTTAAACTTTCTTACTTTTCTAAATGTAAAAACTTACAAATTGCTAATACAAAAAAATAATAATATAATAAACCTTAATACAAAAATACCAAAAATAGATTTATACGAAAAATGGCCGTTTTGGCCAAAATTTCGACTTTTTGAAATGATTTTGCAATTTTTAGACAGTTTTTCTGACTTAAATACGGTTTTATTTTACCAAAAACCCTGTTAAAATTTTAAAACTTGAGTCGTCTAGTCGACGCGCGTGTTTTGGCGTGCCTTGTAGCTGTCGAGACCTAGGCGCATGAAGGGGTCTAGGTTTTCGCGCACTTCCACTCCCTTGAAACGCCGAAAATTCAAACCCCCCCCCCCATTTCCAGAAATCAAACTCCAATCTCTCAGAACCATAGCAAGTCAGGGTGGCCATGTCTGTTTATAGGGTTCCGCCGGAAACCGGGGGTTCCGCCGGTTCCGGTTGCTATTTTTCGGGCTGGGAATGCGGGGCCTGACTTCCTGGTCCACCGGATTAACGGATACTACGTGGAAAGTTCAAGAATTGTGGCTAGAGTTATCTCTCTCTCTCTCTCTCTTTCTCTCTCTCTCTCTCTCTCTCTCTCTCTCTCTCTCTTTCTTTATCAGAGTCTCACCTGCCAACTCGTACACCGGCTCGCCGTACTCCTCGACGATGCCTTGGCCTGGAAAAATTGGGATTAGAAATGTTGAAAAAGGGGTAATCCGCAGGGATACGGCCAGTACACCCGATACAATGGACAGGCAACCGTCGTTTGTTTGCCATTTTGAAAAGCGGCGTTAATCCCTCTTTCTTCGAAAATTTCGAGCTTTGAAAAGTTCGTAGTTGGTTGCGCACTGGCTTGTAAAACAGTGTAGTTTCAAGGTCTAGGCCGAAAGGTATTCGAAAAGCAATGTCTCGACTCAAGCTCAAGCCCACGCCCAGTCTAAACCAAGCCCAAGCGTAGCCCAAGCCTAAGCCTAAGCCCAAGCCTAAGCCGAAGCCTAAACCTAAACCTAAGCCCAAGCCACAATCTCTCACCTTGGTCGTTGGCCAACGGGCCGGCTGCGACGGTGTGCAGCGCCAACAGGGCGATCAGGGCCAACACGAACATTTGCATCGTGGCGTTCATTGTTGTCTCTAGTTCTCTCGGGGATGGACACTGGGGGAAGTGTCGCGGGGTACCTGGAAGGGGTACGGTAACTGGGTCGCATTTCGCATAACAAGGAAGAAAAGGAAACAACTGAAGTTAAAGAGAGAAAAAGAGAGAGAGAGAGAGAGAGAGAGAGAGAGAGAGCGATAGAGAGTGTGAGAGTTGTAGAAGGAGAAAAATGAACGCAATATCACAAAATCAGTAGCAATAAAGCCTCTAAACAGCTGAGTAAGCAGTTTTAGAGTCTAAACGCTAATTGGCTATTTCCACGCGGCTACAAATGACGCCGCCTGAAATGCGGAAATCTGGGTGTACGTAAAACGAAGAACACACCCCATTCTAAACGCAACTATCCGCAGCCCCACCCCCTCCACCTACAGAAAAATGAGCAGAAAATGCAAGTTCAGACGCAAAAAAGCAGCTGTCTCCCTGCGGTCATAACCTTTCCATCCCCAGGTGAAAAGATGGTGGTTGGAGCTTTTTTGTAGCTTCATTTTTCTGGGAGATCAGAAATTGGGCGGCGAGAGGGCTTTGCTAGCTATCTCTCTTTCTCTCTCAGGGTAGCAGAGATCATTTGGGAATAGAAGGGCAGACTAGTAGAGATCATTTGGGAATGGAAGGGCAGGCTAGCAGAGATCATTTGGGAATGGAAGGGGCAGGCTAGCAGGGATCATTTGGGAATGGAAGGGGCAGGCTAGCAGAGATCATTTGGGAATGGAAGGGGCAGGCTAACAGAGATCATTTGGGAATGGAAGGGCAGGCTAGCAGAGATCATTTGGGAATGGAAGGGGCAGGCTAGCAGAGATCATTTGGGAATGGAAGGGGCAGGCTAGCAGAGATCATTTGGGAATGGAAGGGGCAGGCTAGCAGAGATCATTTGGGAATGGAAGGGGCAGGCTAGCAGAGATCATTTGGGAATGGAAGGGGCAGGCTAGCAGAGATCATTTGGGAATGGAAGGGGCAGGCTAGCAGAGATCATTTGGGAATGGAAGGGGTGGGCTAGCAGAGATCATTTGGGAATTGAAGGGGCAGGCTAGCAGAGATCATTTGGGAATGGAAGGGGCAGGCTAGCAGAGATCATTTGGGAATGGAAGGGGTGGGCTAGCAGAGATCATTTGGGAATGGAAGGGGCAGGCTAGCAGAGATCATTTGGGAATGGAAGGGGCAGGCTAGCAGAGATCATTTGGGAATGGAAGGGGCAGGCTAGCAGAGATCATTTGGGAATGGAAGGGGTGGGCTAGCAGAGATCATTTGGGAATTGAAGGGGCAGGCTAGCAGAGATCATTTGGGAATGGAAGGGGCAGGCTAGCAGAGATCATTTGGGAATGGAAGGGGCAGGCTAGCAGAGATCATTTGGGAATGGAAGGGGTGGGCTAGCAGAGATCATTTGGGAATTGAAGGGGCAGGCTAGCAGAGATCATTTGGGAATGGAAGGGGTGGGCTAGCAGAGATCATTTGGGAATTGAAGGGGCAGGCTAGCAGAGATCATTTGGGAATGGAAGGGGCAGGCTAGCAGAGATCATTTGGGAATGGAAGGGGCAGGCTAACAGAGATCATTTGGGAATGGACAGGGCAGGCTAGCAGAGATCATTTGGGAATGGAAGGGGCAGGCTAGCAGAGATCATTTGGGAATGGAAGGGGCAGGCTAGCAGAGATCATTTGGGAATGGAAGGGGCAGGCTAGCAGAGATCATTTGGGAATGGAAGGGGCAGGCTAGCAGAGATCATTTGGGAATGGAAGGGGCAGGCTAGCAGAGATCATTTGGGAATGGAAGGGGCAGGCTAGCAGAGATCATTTGGGAATGGAAGGGGCAGGCTAGCAGAGATCATTTGGGAATGGAAGGGGCAGGCTAGCAGAGATCATTTGGGAATGGAAGGGGCAGGCTAGCAGAGATCATTTGGGAATGGAAGGGGTGGGCTAGCAGAGATCATTTGGGAATTGAAGGGGCAGGCTAGCAGAGATCATTTGGGAATTGAAGGGGCAGGCTAGCAGAGATCATTAGGGGTTGGAAGGGGCGGCCTAGTTTGATTTTTATATGCAAAAACTGCACTCTAGGTTCAAGAAACAAACCCTAAAACGACGTCCAGGAATACCCTAACTAGATTCTCGAATTTTGCAAGGATCGCGGGTGCCTGCCAAAAGCACCTGCCAAAAAGCAGAGCCCGTTTGGGGCTGGATTTCCCGAGGATCGGGCTACAATTTGGCAAGCCAGCAATTTTTCGGTTGAACCCCTTGGCAGGGGTAATCCGTTGCCCAATTTTGATCCCTGTAACTATAAAAATTGCGGATTTGGGCGGCGCAAAAACGGGCATTGGATTGTCGCGGAAATTTTGCACGGTCCACCGGTATTGGCCATGATCTCCGGAAACGGCGCCAAAATTTTTGCGTAGGCAACCTGAAGTAGGGGTTACGGTAATCTGATAGAAATAGAGTAGGAAGGTAGATTTAAGTGAGAGAACGAGAGAGAAAGGGAGCGAGCGAGAGAGAAAGAGAGCCAGAGAGAGAGAGAAAGAGAGAGAAACATTTAACTGCTTGAAAACGCGAAATCTGAAAATACAAAAAATTACAGATTAGGCACAGAAAAGGAACACGCTCACTCCAGCCACGAGGGCAAGTAGAGCTCAAATTTCAGTATGACATTCCGTCCCGTGATTTGCCCAAAATGTGCGATTTTTGCGTCTTTTAAATTCGTCGAAAAAATGGGTATCAGATTTCCAGGCGCTTAGTTCCAGGCGGCTGCCTCGAATTGCCACGTTCCGTGTTTTTTTATGTGCCATTGAGGTCAAGGTAGAAAATTCACGGACGTTTTGCTCGTGCAAAAAATTTAGCGTGTTCTTTGAATTTTGGTGATCGGCGATTTTTGGTCTTTTCAAGCGAGACAAAGCTTAGTCTTTACTTAGGCATGGCTTAGCCTTAGGGTTAGGCTTCGGCTTCGGTTTAAGCTTAGGTCTAGTCTTCGGCTGAGCTTCGGCTTCGCTTAAGCTAGGCTTTACTTACAAGACTTAGGCTTAGGTTCAGGCTTGGCTTTGGCTTAGGCTGAGGCTTAAGTTCAGCTGACGACTGAAGTCAAGCTCAGACTTAGGATTAAGGCTCTTGCTCTAGGTGCCTCAAAGAAATTCAAAGCAGGAAATGGGTTCCGGAAGACATCATCTTATTTCCGGTTCAAAATTCTCTATTCACTAAAAAGACTAGAAATTCGCTCTCACGCCGAAAGGAACAGAAATCAGAAGTCAGTTTCGACATAAAAAAACCGCTACCCGGGTGGCGGTGGTGGGCACTTGAAAATGCTGTGCGATTTCTATGGACTCGGTGATGAAGACGTCAAGCTGTCGTCCGTCGTTCGGGCCGCCGGAAATTCTAGTGCAAAAGCTGGAGTCCGTGTTTTGTTGCTTTCGCCACGGTTTTGTGTTAGGAGGGCAATCCGGAGGCTATTATAGCTTTAAAAGGTCGCCTCGAGTTAGGAGAATCTGATAGCCTGAGTTTTTTTGCACAAATAGGTTTTGCAATGGGAGAAGTTTACTACAAAAACGAGAGAGAGAGAGAGAGAGAGAGAGAGAGAGCGAGAGAGAGAAGAAAGAGGATCTGAACATATCCAAATATCCCTCTCCACAAAGCAGTTTGTCCTAAATAATCTCTGCGAGCTTGCCTCAGCTCGTATTTATAGTTACACTAAAGTCTCGTTGGTTTGGTTACCGGCCGGTAACCGTCCGCGGAATAGCAAACAGGGTTACGGGCGGCGTTCGCCGCGGAGCAAAACCGAACCCTGACTGCCAGCTCGGGGCAGCGCCTTGGACCACTAGTAAGCCAAGGGAAAGACGGGAAAGGGGGATGGCGAGGGGCGATAAGAAGGGGCTGGGTCACTGCGGCAGAGTGCCCAAATTTCCTGCCACCACCGAACTTTTTGAACGAGATTTTAGAGTGCCAGCTTGGGAAGAGATTTTATTAGGAATGTGTGAGCGAGAACGAGAGAGAGCGAGAGAGAGAGCAAGAAAGAGCGAGAGGGAGAGAGCGAGGGAGAGAGAGATCAGCGAAAACGAGAGAGATCCGAAAAATCCCTGCAACAAACCCCAAAAACCCAATGTCAAAAAACCTTTTTCTGATTAACTTTCCGGGGGCAAACCATTTACTTTTACGGCCCTGTCGAACGCAATTATCAATCACGAAAAAATTCCGCACAACTTCAATTAACGTTGCAATGGACCAGGGGAATTGTGGCGACAAAAGCGAAGGGTCAGCGATCTTTGAGCAACCTGGGGAAAGCTGGTAAAGCTTCAGCTAAGCGAGTTTTGAAGCAAGATTTCCGCACGGAATGCTTCTTTCCGGGTCCTAAAAAGACAGAAAAATCACGTTTCAGACCCGGAAAGAATTGAGTGAAGCCCTGCCCTCTGGAATGGGCTGTAGCAAACCTCTCGAAACCGGAACCAAATCCGGCAAAAAAATTATACCATGACATCAGAATCGAAAGATGATGCTCAAAATGGGACAGCAAAATAAAATCGTGAGTTCGTTGCTAAATCGAAGCCGTCAAAAAGAGGAGCAGGAAAAGCAAGAAGGAGAAAAACTAAACAATAAAATTCGATCGGAATCGTTGGCCCATCCTTCAAAATACAGTCAGCCACGTAAAGTCTCTCTCTCGCTCGCTCTCTCTCTCTCTCTCTCTCTCTCTCTCTCTCTCTCGTTCTCTCTCTCTTTATCTCTCACTCTTCTTTCTCTCTCTCTCTCTCTCACTTCTCTTTAACTCACTATAGTGGCAACAAACTAAAAAAATATGAGCCGTGATTTTTCGGAAAGGTTCACTCCCATCAGAATCGAAAGTCCGGCCGTCCGGACCGGCAGTGACGAAAGTTCGACCTCGGATTTGGCCGGACTCCTTCCGTTTTCTCGTTATACCCTTCCTCCCACTCCTTCCCAGAAGCAGTTTTCCTCGCCTTCGGGGGCTGTTTGAATGCATTTTTGAATTCTGTGTA